AAGATGCTTTCGGTATCACTATTTGCAAGGGCTTTTCCTATTTTCATGACAGCAACTAGCAAGTTTAAATATTGTCACCCATTTTGAGATTTGTATTACTCGTTTACAGAGTTTAAACTACGATCACAGACTGGGTGCCATCAGTCCACCCTTTTTTCAAATAAGCACATCATGCATTGGGATGACCCTAGCAGTCATTAGTCCTAAAACAGATCTTGATAAACGTATTTTTTTGGACCTCTTCACCTTTGCTTCGATAACCTGCTTGTATCAGATTCCGTGCAACAAACAATGTTAAGTTTCTTTCGTCTACTACCAAAAGGAGCTACCGAGTACTGAAGTTGTCAGACATTAGCTATTTGCGAAGTTGGATTTTTCTTATCGCTAAGAGTCTACCAGATGAAGTTCTGTTATCGGAATAGTAACAACATTGAAAATCCTACTATGTTTTATCAATTAATATTTAAGTTCTTTCCAGGTAACTTATTAAACAGTTTCCGAAAGATGAAACATATGAGCCATTTTAATCGTCAACAAAAAGTCAGGTCAAGCGTGTTGAATACAAAGTGGCTCGAATACTAAACTTTTGAGAAATTCCCCGAGGTAAGCGATAGAACTTTCGAAAAATTAGTGGTGTTCAATTGAATTCTCCTTGGTTGACAAAATTTGGTACAATCTAAAGAAACGGATATTTACACTCGTTGATAAAGGTTCATCGACGGCTAATGGAACTTACTTGCCCCACTCTGCCCTGCCTTAGGGCAGGAAAATATCAAAATCGCAGGGTGTATTTTAATTAACCTAGAACTACGTCTTATGATTGTGTGGTCAAGCTCTACGATATCGAAGAACGAATATTTTTTGGGAAAAAATACGTAAGACTAAGAACTGAAAGGAACGAAAGATAAAAGTATGCCCATAGTGTTTTGATTGTTTTCGTAGTGCAATAGTAGGGAAACCGGGCCTTCGAAAACATAAGCATTATTGAGTAATTCACGCCTCCGCAGACTTGGGCCCTTCGAGGTTGATAGCTGCCTTTTGACTAACTAAGTCTTTTCCTTTATTCGTCATTTCTGGTCATCACTGCCTAACTGTCTCCTTTACTATCGTATTAAATGCCCACTGGGTTTTTAATATCTGAGAAAAAAGCCGCATTTTAGTTGTCCTTTGGCAGAATAAGTCGCACGCGTATACCTGAAACAGAACGACATCTGAGTGTCATACCTAAACTTGGCGGATTATCAGCGTTGCACTTTGGCTTACCTACTTAAACGGACGAGTTTAAAATCCTCCAAGCGGAATATAAAGTTCGTTTTCAGAGTCACGTACGGCCATGTGTCTTTTCCAGGCTGGTCATGACAATTATTTCCTTCTGGCATAATTGGCCAGGATCATTCTTCATAAATATTTGGGATTAACGTCCTGCTATTGGAGTACAGACATCAGGTTTTTAGCTATTCCCGTGTTATGCTTTAACCAACTATAAGTGTTCATGAAGCTCTTCATAAAATGCCTGTTTTGTGCTTTCTCCAGCGCAATGAGAATCTGACTCTGGTGATCAACTCGGCAGCTGCCATTGGCTGCTGTGTGGTGAACATCGGACCTGAAGACATCCTCCAGGGCAAGCGTCATCTGGTGCTGGGCCTGATTTGGCAACTCATTCGCAAGGCCATTGTCGACACCATAACCCTCGCCCAACACAACGAGCTGGCAGCCCTCCTACTGCCAGGCGAGACCCTCGAGGAACTGAGTGCCCTGAAGCCCGAAGAGTTGCTAATGCGATGGGTAAACTTCCACCTAACCAATGCTGGCAGCGACCGCCGAATCACCAACTTCCACTCCGACATCAATGATTCCGTCATATATGCTATCCTGATGGACCAGATCGCGCCATTGGACAAGAAGGCCCACATGATTAATTCTAAGGCCATACTGGATGAGTATGATATCCAGAAGAGGGCCGGCATTGTGATGGAGAACGCCGCTATCCTGGACGCTGGCAGTCTGCTATCGCCAGAAGATATTTATCTTGCAACTGACACCAATCAGCGGGATAAGCTTAATTTGGGTTTCGTTGCAACCCTGTTTAACATGTATCCTGGCCTGGAGAATCCCGGAGACTTGCAAATCGAACCGGAATCACTGGAGGAGAAGACTTACAGGAATTGGATGAACTCGATGGGTGTGTCGCCGTTTGTGAGCCACCTCTACAGCAACCTCAGCGATGGCCTGGTCCTACTTCAGCTCATCGACATAATTCGTCCGAATACCATAAACTGGAAAACAGTGACTTCGACCTTCGACGAGAGGCGAAAACTTTTCCAGAAGCAGAACAACTGTGTTCTCGTGATTGAGTATGCCAAATCAATTGGCCTGAAGTTGGTCAATGTGAGTGGCGAGAACATCCGAGAAGGCGCTCAGAAGCAAGTCTTGGGCAGCTGCTTCCAGTTTATGCGGGCTTACACGAATAAGCTTCTGCGAGAGGTGCGTAACTGCCCTTTACTTCTTTATGCTCAGTTTATTTCTTCTATCCTTTGTAATCCACCAGAAGAATAAGAAGTTCTGTGCTGACCTTCAGGTGGTTAAACTTGCAACTTTCAGAATTATAACACTAAGTGTGGTTATTATTAAGTAAGTGATTACATATTTGGTCCAATATACGTTGCTCGGAAATAGGAACTCCCTGTTCAAGTAGTAAAATGGATTCCGTGCATATTTCAACGGATTTTAACTACTTCCTTGCCATAGTCCTAGCACTAAACATCAACAAAATCTAAACCACAGTGTTAATCCTTATTCTAGCTCTAATATATACCC